AATTCAGTTTTCGGTTTCAATTTTCTCAACCATTGTATAATTCTTGCTTGCTCCACAACAATTTGTGTAAAAATGAAAACCAAATTGACACTATGAACCTCTTGAGGTTCATAGTTCAGTATATCAATGTTCTTGATTGATTACTGCCAAACATTATACATTACTCGGCAAGTTTTATACAGTACACGTTATAATCAACATATTGAAGAATAAACATTATTTCTTTTGAAACAAGATTGTCGAGATATAAACACTTTCCTCTTATCGACTATCAGACAATCTAGTCCTCTAGCTTATCAAGCGTATCAGACAGATTTTCTAACCTCAATTCTTACGATCATTACAATCTTTACTTAATTGTGTAACAATATACGACTAATCATAATCCGAGTGTTTATTAATAATCCCAAACCCCTTGTCCAACAACAACAGGTTATGGGCTCAGAGGGTGTCCCTGGGATTATTTGTAAAAAGATTTTTGGAATTTCGTCACAAGAAATTCAGCTAAATTGAATCACCGTCCAGTCCACCTGTTAGAGGTTAGGCGCCACGTGCAAAGTGCAAAACGCCGACAACGAGATGGACGAAGAACGAGAAGACAACAAGCACGTCAAACTACGAGGAACGGAGAATTATGCAATGTGGAAATTCCAGCTTCGCATACATTTGATGGCAATCGAGGCCTACGGCATTATAACAGAAGATAACCCGAAACCGAAGCCACCAGCAGCCACCGTAGACGAGGCAGCAAACAGGACAGAAAGGAGCTCGTATCTGCTAAAATTGAAGGCATGGGAAAGACTCGAAGGGAAGGCCCAATGAATAATCGTGAGTTGCCTGACCGAGGACACAATGCTCCATGTGATGAACTGCGACTTAGCGAAGCAGATGTGGGACACCCTGGCAGAAATATTCGCGAACAAAACGGAGACAGCTATACATATGCTCCATCAACAGTGGTTCGTACTGCAGAAGGACCCCAAAGACACTATAGCCGAGCACATCAGCAAAGTCAAGGACATCGCACATCGACTGAAGACTCTGGGTGAGACAGTTTCAGATAATATGCTAATAACTAAAATGCTGTTGACTCTCCCACGCAACCTCAATAACTTTTGCTCAGCTTGGGAGTCAACCGCACTGTCAGAACGAAGTCTGACCAATCCGACCGCGAGGCTAATCGCTGAGGAGAACCGACTAACTCACCAGGAAATGCAGAAAAGTTCCGGTGGACTGATGAGCACCGAGAGTGCACTGGCAACACAGGCAAGAGGTTCCAGGCAGAGGACTGACTGAGGTAGAGGCTCAGGCAGATCAAACAGGCCTGGCGATTATAACTACTGTCACAAGGAAGGACACTAGGAATTCGAATGCCGAGAGAAGCTGAAAGACCTATCAAAGAGGTATGACGAGGAAAATAAAGCATCGCAGAAGCATGATGAGGAGAATAAGACATCGAGGGCTTATGGTGGAGCATTCCTGACTCATCTGCTGTCAACAATGCCGACATCACATAACTCCCAAGAGGGGTGGTACCTAGACTCAGCTGCATCAAGCCATATGTCTCACATGAAGGACTGGTTCATCGAGCTGGAGAACCTTGAACACCCCGAGAAAATTATGATTGGAGATGGCAAGATAATCCTCGGAATGGGAAGAGGCACCATCAATATCCTTACATATAACGGAGAAGAATGGATGAAAAAACACATACAAGGTGTTTTATACATGCCAGAGCTGAGGTTCAACCTGTTCTCTACAGCAGCGGCCATAGACAAAGGCCTCGTACACGGAGCAACAAAGGAGTGTGCATGGTTTGAAAAGGAAGGAGAAACTGTGGCCATAGAACGACGTGAGGGTATGTCATGGCTAATGGAGTTTAAGACATGGCCTCCCCAGACAGCAATGGTCACAACGCAAGAGAATGAGGCAGTACTAGTGTCATCTCTCAAGACTTGGCAGTAGAGGCAGGCCCATCAAAACTACCAGCACATAAAAGAGCTGCTGAAATAAAGAGGCGTGAAGACAGTGGGAGTCAAAGGGTTCTGTCAACCTTGCGCGGAAGGGAAAATACACCGCCTCCCCCACCCGGCCACGACAAATAAAACCAACAAAGTCAGTGAAATCATCCATGCCGATGTCTGTGGGAAAGTCGAAACCAAATCTCTGGGTAGAGCAGAATATTTCCTCCTGTTCAAGGAAGACTACTCCCACTATAGAGCAGTGTACTTCATGTCAGCCAAAAGCAAAGTTCCAGATCACTTCAGACACTTCCTGATGAGGATGGAGAAGGAGACAGGTGAAACCAAAACGATTTGGCAGCGAAGTGTTCGTCCACACTCCCAAGCAAAGGAGGAGAGGGAAATTTGGATTAAGGGCAATGCCAGGAGTACTAGTGGGCTACGGTGAGGACTGAAAGGGAAATCGCATCTGGATACCCGAAACGAAGAAAGTCGAAATTCACTGCGACGTTATCTTTAACGAGGACAAAGAGATCAAGCCAACCACTGAAAGGCCAATAAAATGAGGATGGCCAGATGAGGACAACCCTGAAGAAAGCCATGGCAGCGAGGCTGATGAGCACGAGAAACAGCTCCCCAGTGATCAGGAGTCAGAGAACTCAAGTGATTTCATTGACACTATACAGGCTGAAGACTCCATCCTGCGTGACCTGGAGGAATATGAGGGACTGATCCAGGATGATAGACAAGACGTAGTGCCAGAACAGCTGAGAATGGCGCTGATGGCACACCAAGAGAAGCCGCTCGCATACGCAGAAGCCAAACAGAGCCCTGAAGCGTCTGAATGGCGAGGTGCCATGAACGAGGAAATTGTTGCTCTACATACGACTGAAACTTGGACTCTCGTGGACAAGCTCAAAGGCGCCAACGTCCTCAAGAACCGATGGGTCTACAAATTAAAATATACTCCTGACGGATCGATAGACAGATACAGAGCAAGGCTCGTGGTAAAAGGATGTTAGCAAAAGCCAGGGGTCAACTATAGTAAAACGTACAGTCCAGTGGCAAGGATGGCATCAATAAAAATGTGCACAGCACTGATGATAGCCAGGAACATGCACGCAAGGCAGTTTGATGTCAAGACTGCATTTTTATACGGAAGACTCAAGGAAAATGTATACATGCAGCAACCCAAAGGCTTCACCGACGGCACAGACAGAGTCTGCAAGCTACAACGCAGCTTGTACGGGCTGAAGCAAACACCCAGGTGCTGGAATGAAAAATTCAATAGCTGATTGAATAACTTCAACCTGAAAGCCACACAAACCGATCCGTGTGTGTTCGCCAGGATCTGATTCTTGCCATTCATGTGGATGATGGCCTCGTAATCTCCAGAAACCAAGGCAAAATCGATCAGCTGATCGACAATCTGAGAAAGGAGCTGGAGATAAAGGTCAACCCACTCAACATGTTCCTGGGAATTCACTTCAAAAGACTGAAGGATGGATCTATCCTGGCGCACCAGAAGCTCTACACCAAGAAGCTGCTGGAGAGATTTAAGGTGGAAGAGGCAAACGCCGTGGCCATATCAGCAGACAACCACTAAGACCTGAGTCAATACGTACCTCGAGAGGGACAGGGCGAGGAAACAAGTGCACCAACACGGTGAGCCAGTAATGTGTAAACCCCCAGAAAGTCTACTGGAACGCCGTAAAAAGGATACGGAAGTACCTGAAAGGCACAGCCGGTTATAGAGTGAAAGTGTCTGCCAACAGAGATGTGGCACAGCTGACAGCATTCAGTGATGCAGACTACGCCGGCGACTGCAAAGCCAGATGGTCAACGACCGGGTACCTCATAAAACTGGGCGAAACTCCTGTCATCTGGGGATCCAGGAAACAGAAGGCAGTTGTGTTATCTACAACGGAAGCAGAGTTCACTGCAGCTTGTGAGACATCAGTTGAAATAATCTGGTGCAAGAAGCTGCTTGACGAGATGCTGGAAACTAGAATCAAGGTTCCAGTACAACACGTCGACAACCAGGCAGCAATATGCTGGATAAGAAACGGTCTATACGACTCCAGAGCCAAGCATGTGGACATCAAACTGGAATTTGTATGTGAGAGACATCGGGAGGGACTCATGGATGTCAAATATATCAAAACTGAAGAGCAGGTGGCGGACATCTTCACCAAGGCATTGCCGAAAGCGACATGCGAGAAACTCAGGAGGCAGATAGCTGTCTCTGTCAGCGAGTAAAGTATTAGTGGGAGTGTCGAGATATATTTTCCTCTTATCGATAATCAGACAATCTAGTCCTCTAGCTTACCGAGTGTATCAGACAGATTTTCTAACCTCAATTCTTACGATCATTACAATCTTTACTTATTGTGTAACAATATACGACTAATCATAATCCGAGTGTTTATTAATAATCCCAAACTCCTCGTTCAACAACAACAAAGATTTATCCAAATCAAGTGATTATCGCAAAAATCAAAACAAACGTTTATATTTCTACTCGACTTCTTGAGTGATATTAGTTTGGAAACTCGAGTGTGCCAGCAGTTATTTGGTACATTAGTTATGTTTTGACAGTTCAGTCCTTGTTTACATACGGTCTATTAAATCTATTTGTTTGTATGATGTCTTTCCAAAGCCTCATGAAGTTGATAGTACATTAGAGTATAAGGGCACAAATGTCGTTTTCAGCAAATGTGAAGTTTATACCGGAGTGGTTTATAATATTTTGTATTACTCCTTGGAGAAGTACAACATGCCATAAACTCGATTTTTTGGCACTGAGTGATAGAAAATAAGTAGCAAAACTGTCACACTTATGACGATTCGATCGACGTTGCAATTATTAGTCCAACATCCTTTGATCTTTCTTAATAATTATTAACATAATGGAAATGATCACTTTCATTGAATCCCAGTTGTTTTTAATAGAAAATTTGATGAGGAAACTCAATTTCTTTCTCTGAAATTAAATTCTTCACACCACTCGTCCATTTATTGTATAATTTTCAATACTAGGCGTGGTAACCCTTCCGAAGACGTTTCAACTGCAGATGCATATCCCAGGAGTGGACTCCTGGCGACATCTTCAAGGAGGACAGGAGGTCAAACCAACCGGTAGGAAGAGCATTTCGGTGTCCATCCTCGAGGGAGAAATCGTAACCCTCCTACGTCCAGGTCACATTATTCCTTTCCACGAGGTGATTTTCCGAAATATAATGTCATTTCATATCTGACAGAAAACATTCTATCATCAATTTCGCCTGAATTGGCGAATCTGTATATTTTTTCTAGAATCCAGGTCTGACGACCATGGAGACTCTTCATAGTCCCTTGAAATTAATCTGCAATCTAGCTTGCGTCGCGGGAAAGTATCAAGCTGAAGGGAAAATCTTCTACGACCGAGATGCATTCCTCAACGTCATGTTTAATGATACTTTCCTTCAATTAAAAAGAGTCATCACTGCTGAGACTGGGGTATGCCCGAATCGAACCACGATTTTGATTAATTCCTTGGAAATTCTGGGACGTAAATCTATATATACCATTGGCTTGAATGTTTCATTTTGTGATTTTTATGAACAAACATATTCATTCATAATTTAGGGAGATTTGAATAATGTTAATTTTGCTGTCAAAGTGCTGAAAATGTTCCCGAATCAAACTGATAAAATTTTACACAGATGGCTTCCTGCATATCTCTGTAGATTTCTCTGGACATACTTGCAAAATAATATGAAACTCAGACTTAAATTTTTCCTCATTCTTTACTGGAAAGAGTGAGAATATTGAAGAGAACTGTGAAAATTTGCTCTTCTACTACATATATACATTGCCCGCCCGACCAGGAGAATTTTGTGGAAGAGCAAAAGTAATTTATCAACTTTAAATTATACGATCACGAAAAAATATCATTCAGTTTTCCATCATTATTTTAATTGTTACTAGAGAACATCCGTTTCAATATGTTTACATCTATAATGCAAATTTCTCTTATCCATAATTTCAAATTCACTATAGAGCTAGATGAAAATCAATTTGATCTTCAGCGAAGGATGCCGTTGACTATTTACTATAAATAAGCTCCCGTTGTATGAAAATAGAGAGCACTGCATTGTCTTGAGAACAGTGCAATAGTAATTAGAATGGGGAAATAAATCCGCAAAATTTGAAGTAAATTTGTGTGATCAGAATGACAAGTATCCAAATGCAATAAAAGAGTATGCTTAGATGTATTTGCATTTACCTTCTGTTCATCCCCTTCTTCCGTGTGAATGACTCTTGACATGCGCAAGATGTCCCAAGCAGGGGCATTGATTTCCTGTATTACAGGCTTAGATGGAATATTGCCAAATCTCATCGCTTGGCGGTGTTGGATGGTAGTGGGGGTCGTGATTCTGGTGGAGGATAGGAAGTAACAAAGAAGCCATACAAGGGGGTTAAACTCAAATGGGAAAATTTACACGATGTTTCGCCAGAATGCACTGCTAGGTCCGCTGTCGTCAGCGAAATGAATGGTGAAGGGGGATGGAGGACGCAAGTCAAAGTGACAAAGCGGCGGCATAAAGTTTGAACCTGAAATCGATAGCGGCTAATGAAATACAACTATATCAAAAGACTTTGGACGAGCACAAATTCAGAGTGAGAGATATATTGATTAATCACATAGATAAAGATTATCATTCTGAAGTAGTATCAATTCACGATCCTGTTGTAATACTAAACAAACTCAAAGAGATCAAGAAATTTGAGAACATTTCCTCATACTCTGTAAGATTGGAAATTACAAGCATGAGATATGATAAGACTAAATGTACAGCTGTTGAGTTTTGTGATAAATTTGAAGAAGCTATTCGTAATTACGAAAATTCATCTGATGCCACCTCTTTGTCTGAAGAAGAGAAAAGTGACGCATTTAATAATGCCATTGTTAAGTCTGTACCAACGGTACAGTTGTTACTAACTCGGCTGAGCAGCGGCGAGGTAAAAACCGCAAACTTTGCAGCTCAAAGGGCGAGATGTTTCGAGTGTGGAGGATTTGGTCATTTTGGTCGAGAATGTCCAGGCCAAGGAAAGGGAAAACTCTGCTATAATTGCAGAGACTATGGTCATACCGCCAAAGAGTGTCCAAAATCAGGTGAGGCACACAAGTCAAAAGTAGATACTAAATATAACAGTTCGCGGGGCAGAGGTTTTCGTGGATCTGGGCGTGGAATTGGGTCATTGAAGAGAAGATTAAGCGGTGCGAGTAGCCCTGGGAGTGCGAAAAGGGATCGATTTAACAAGCATGTAACCAGAGGAACCCCCTCCACCGGGTTCCCACTTTGTCGTTAGTGAGGGGGCTCGGTCGCGGGCGGTGGAGGTCTTAAGGACTACCGCCGCCCGCGGTCGCTAAGAGGAGCCCACCCAATCCACGTGTAAGATATAGCAGTAAGTTCAAGTGGGAAATTGCCCCTGCATCATATATAGTATGGTTTTTTTGCTAATAGATTAGCAATATACTTCCGAATGGTCATTTTGCATACTAATTTTGTTTTTATTTTTCTATAATCATGATTGTTCACTTCTACAGTTTCGTATTCCATGTTATTGTTTTCTGTGGAATTTTTCTTATTTCTGTTATTGTTTACGATCAATCATATTACCAAATCGGTTGTAATAATCAATCATTTTTTTGTATACTCTTTTAGGTTTTCACGACTTATTCTCATTTCTCATTTTATCCCTTCGTATTGCATTTTCTGAGGGGCGAATGTAAATTTCATCTTCGTCATCGTCAATCTCTAATGATGCCAATGGAACTACAGGTAAGCTTGTTTTTTTTCTTTCTTGTAATTTATTAATTAATTAATTTATTTGTTTTATATATTCAGGTGATGATCCCACATTTACCTTGACTCCTTCAACTACCCTCCAAATGTATAATAATGAAATGCAATCTCGGTTAATGTAAGTATTTCAATTTCGATTTATTTTCATTATTTCATTGCTTATTATGAAAAGTATTCATTTTATTGTCCTATTATTGTTTCAATTCCTTTTATCATCTATCTTTTTTCTTCATGCATTATAGATCAATTGTTGGAGTCGTTGATCAAATCTTTCTGGTCACTTCTACTGCTGGAGCTGTAGCTAAGACGATTTTTAATTGGACTGTGAATAATGGTGATGGAGGAACATGTTGAATGTGTCGCGTGGAACATCCAAGTTCAACGAATTCAATCTCACATTGTTCTGGGAAATGTAACTATTTTTTTTACTATCATTTTTTTATTAGTAGGGTCAGTTGCACTGAGCAATAATAGCCATGTGATAGTTTTATTCTTGCGCACTCTTTATGGACTGAGGAGCCACTGTCTAGTTGTTGAGTTATTAAGAGTTAGTGCAGAAGGTCCATTTATAAAAATAATTTTTTATTATTTATTCTATCACCATTTTTCAATTTTAATATTAATTCGAGATCATTTTTCAGATTAAAGAATTTTTTTAACTGTCAAATTTACATTTTTTTCTTGATTTTTAAATTGTAATTCATAATTATCTCCACGATATATGAAAATTCTTCAATTTCATCGCTTTGAAATTAGTCGAGTTTAATATTGTCGTGTTTTTTCGTATATGTATTTACTTAGACTATATGGAAATCATTTTGTCAAATTTTTAATTGTTTCTATTCTATAATTTTGAATAGTATTGTCTTAATATTATGATATTTTCTCAATTCAGTAGGTGCTGTTTCTGAATACAGTTTTCATGAAGGCTGATAATGTGAAATATTTGAATGGGACAGTATTAGTCCAGTTAACAGTACAATCTAATACAACGGTACATGTAATGCACCAATTCGGACCAAATGTACATGAACTTAGAATTTTGAATCAAAGTTTGCAATTAATTGAGTTGCCAGATATGTGTAGTCATCGGAAGTGCATACGTAAGATTGTTGTTCACAATGAATCTAATTATTATATGAAAAAAATTATGCTTCTTTCAACAAATCTACCTCGAGCCTGTTTTTAACTATAGATGATTTTTTTCCAAAGTCGATTTGAATTTTATTCGAGTTTTTAACTTCCCGGGCAGGGAAGTTATTGTAATGCCCCCGAAAATGAAAAATCGATTTTCCATGATATCTCCACATTTCAAGGTGTTTCTAATGTTCCTCGATAGTTTTTAACAAAATGTCTGTGGGTGTGGGTGTGTGTGTGTGTGTGTGTGTATGTGTGTTACTTTGTACGTATGTGGTCAAAATTTTGGTCAACGATTTCTCGTGAACGAATGGTCCGATTTAACTTTTTTTTTCTCCAATCGATACGTCTTCATGTAACTTAGACCGGATTAGATTTTGGTTGATATTGGTCTGATGGTTTTCGAGTTATTCCAGAACGAAAAATTCAAAATAGAAAAAAATAACCAAAAATTTCTCGTTCTCATAAGATGCTCATAACGAACGATTATAATGAAGAAAAGCTCTTCATTTTCTCCAATTTTTTTCATATATTTTTAACCATGATATTTCTTCCATTTTTTTCTAATTTTTTATTTATTTTATCAACTTCCCGATCTATCGGGTAGTTATTGTAATCACCCTGAAAATGAATCATTAGTTTTTTGCAATTTATCCACGTTTCTCGGTGTCTAAAACACTTCTAAACAACATGTCTGTATGTGTGTGTGTGTGTGTATGTGCGTATGTAGGTCTGTATACCACGGAATTTTCGTTAACGATTTCTCCCGAATGACTCGCGCGATCAAGATGATGGAGGACGTAATCGAAAGGTCTTCATGTAACTTAGACCTGATTAGATTTTGGAGTAATTCACTCCAGTAGTTCTTCCAAATTTTCCTGGAGAAATGTTTGGAAATGGCTAAGATAAGTATTTCTCCTGTATAAATGACGTGATTGGCATTGTCAACATCAGGATATCACTAGAGTCAATCACTCCCGGGATTTATCTAGGATTTTCTGAAACTTCAGTGATTTTTCCAGTGGTTTTTCCAAAATTCCCTGGAGAAAAGTTTGAAAATCGCAAAGACAAGGGTTTCTCATGAATAAATAAACAGAGTATTGAGAGTTCAAAAGGATTCTTTTAGTAAAAATGGGAGGAATAATAATATCGGGAAGTTGTTGGTGCGACCCGTCCGACGGGTCGGACCCACATGAATACATCCGCTACCAACCCACCCGCAATGGGAGCGAGCGCAGCGAGCGACCAACAGCCCAATCCAGTAGTTTCTTCATTGACTAAAGTACTACTTGATTAGATTCCTATCATTACATTTAAATGAATTTTTCTCAATTTCTCACTAGTGTTTGGTCAATTCGATTTATACAGTTGATAGAAAATAGTTTACGAAAAAAATTATTTGATTGGGCTATTGATTTTTTTTTTCGTAGAATTTTGTCAGTTTGCATTGAAACTGAATAAAAATACCATTAAAAATTCAGTCAATTGTCACGATTGAAAATATTGGATTTGCCCATTGAAATTTCTTATGGAGGTTTATTTTATGATTTTGAAATGTACATATATAGTTTCTCTAATTTTTAGGTGTACAAGGATTCATCAAAACTAATTTTGCCACGGTTCAAAGAGCTACACGTATGAAAAAATCGTATAGAACTTTTCTATACGAATTGTGTATAGAATGATCCTATACGATTTCTATGTTTTTCGTATATGATATTCAAACTTTTCTATACGAAAATTTTCGATACGAAGTTTTTCTATACGAATACTTTTTCATCGCATTCTATTCGTGAATTTTTATTCTATACGATTTATTCCTATACGCTCGCGAGAAATGCGTATAGAAATCCGGCG